GGGGGTGGCTAGTTCTAGATGGAGTGGGAACCCTTTGCATGGGTGGCCTGGGGGGTTTATATAGGCCTACCCCCCAGGGGTACAATGGTAATCTGGCCTGCTGCTGGGGCCCTCCGCCTGGTGGGCCCTGCCGACTGGTTGGTGGTTGTTCACTATGGTCGTATCGCCAGTGACGGGGGCTTGGTCATCTTTAGCGTGGCTATAGTCCGGCCCACCGCCTGGTGGGAGGACACTGTAGCCACACCTGGTCTTGTCAGCTTAATGGCTTGCTCGCCTCGGGGCAAGGGACGGCCGCCTACTGGAGGCCGGCCTCTCTCTGATCCGCTTGGTCAACTTCCGCCGTCTTCCTTGAGGTCACTGTCCGATAGGGCCCGCCTCTGGCGGGCCGTACCAACAGGCCGTCGTGGGGAACAGGGCTCCGCCTGCTAGGAGCAACGTCAGGATAGATACGGCACAGTGCTCCGTCGTGCGGAGATCTCCGTCTGTACAGAGCACTGTAGCCACGCCCGTCTCGAGCGTGGGAGGCGACGTGCTTCACTGTAGCCATACTTCATTTTGTACTCCTGATGGGAGCTCGGCTGCCCCGTAGTCGTGAAGTAGCCACCTGCCTATAGCCGCCCTCTCTGGTGGGCGGCCGCCAGGAGCCGGCCACTCGGAGCGTCGCAGTCTTGGGTCACCCGCCCTCTGGCAGCCGGCCACCGCACCAGCCGGCCACAGATGGCGGAGTTTCGGCTTGGGGCTCAGCTAGGCGGAGCTGGCCCAAAGTCTTGATAAAGCATGGGCCTCGGGTGATCCTACCCATGGCCCATTACTCCGACAGTAGTCCCCAAAGCCGGTGACGCGTCGTGGTCGAGGGGCCGCGAGGTCTCAGCGGCTTCTCCCCTTCCCGTGCTCGGGGACAACGTCGACCGCCTGGCCGCCAGTCGGCCGCTCGAGCCGGCCTCTCACAGGCGGAGCTAAATGGTCGACTTTGAACTCTAAGGCGGGAAACAGGTGACGTGCCTGCTAAGCTTCCCCTGAGCAGCCGCCCGTTGCGGACGCGCCACGCGGCGCACGCCAGCCTGACAAGCCTGCCATCCCACGCTCTTGACGGGACATGACCCCGGGCCGGGCCCGCCACTACCACGCCTCGGCAACCGGGCAGACTTACTGCACCGGAGGGGATGGTTGCCATCCCCGCGACTATTCACGACAGGGTGAATGCGCGCGAGAGACGGGCGGTCGTGGGGACGTGGGCGCAGTTAATCCCATGACCCCACGTCCCGCCCACTCGGCTACATAGCCCGGGCGCTATAACTAGGGAGGGGGGAGAGGTGCAGCAAAGTTCCTGCGCCCCCTCCCACTCTTCTTCTTCTTCTTCTTAGCCTCCACTGCTGCTGCTGCTGTAGCGCCGCCGCCGTTGCTCGACGCCGACATGCCTTTCCCCTCCGCGCCGCCAGCCGGAGCCATGGGCGACTGGGACGGATCGACCGTGATCAAGGATCACATTTCTTTCCTCCGCGACACACGCCGGATGCCCAGCGCGGCCTTCATTAAGGCGCGGGTGCCGCCGGAGACGGAGATCTCGCCGGCGCCGCAGGAAGGCGAGCGGGTCGTCTTCCGCTCGCATTTCTTGCGGGGCCTCCCTGCGAGCAATTTCTTCCGCGCCTTCCTCAGCTTCTACAACCTTCAGCCCCATCACCACACGCCCAACGCCGTGACCTTGCTCTCCGCCTTCATCACGGCGTGCGAGGGCTACCTCGGCATCCTATGGAAAGCTCGGCACCTCCGCCAAGGAGACGGCGGCCGAGTGCGAGGGCTTCATCGCCGTGCACCAGCCGGCGAAACGAAACGCCTTCCCCGTCATCAAGCTGGCGCAGTCGGTGAAGATGTGGCAGCAGTCCTATTTCTACGTCGAGAACATGGACCCTGCTGCCGACTTCCTCAACTTGCCGGCCTACGAGGCCGGCCCCCCCACCGGAGCTCACGTCTCCTGGAAGTACAAGCCGAAGCCGGTGTCTGGGGACGCGGCCTCCGCCATCGGCCGACTCCGAGTGCTCCAAGAGTCGGAGGGCCTCGTGGCCTCCGACCTTCTTGTTGCCTTTGTGGAGCGTCGGGTTCTTCCGCTCCAGAGCCGCCCTCATCCGATCTTCCGGATGAGCGGACACCGCGACCCGTGCCGGCTGTGCACGAAAGGAATGTCGCCTGCCGAAGTCTCGCGGATGGTGAACGAGATCTCCGACCTCAAGATGTCGGAGAAGGAGTGGCGGTTCGGGAAGCGGCCGTACTCTCGCCACAACCTGCCTCCTGCTGTAAGTTTCTTCTGCTTTGTTTTTCTTTATGACGCTGCTTCTTCAAGACTTGATTCCTTCTTGGTTGCAGATTTACATGTCCGAGGCAACGGCCGCCCTCCTGGGGCCGGGTGATAACCTCCAGGCGGACAGGGCAGAGAGTGATTTGGACGACCCCGACTTGGGGGCGGCCGCCCTGGTCGATGACGCGACAGGCGGCGGCGGCAGAGCGGACGGCGGTGGCGGAGCAGGAGGCTCCGAGGGAGGCGGCGGCATGGAGACCTGGCCTGACGACGACGAAGACGAAGACGAGCCGCGCCCCGCCCGGAGCTCTGCCACCACCGGCGCCGGCCCCTCTTCTGGGCCGCCTGCCCCAGGCGGCAAGCGCAAGCGGAAACAAGGCTCGACCCTGTTCGGCAGCGCCCCAAAGAAGCCGAAGAATCCGGCCGCGGTGACCAGGCGGAAAGAGACAGCGGCCAGGGCGACCCAATATCAAAGACAACCGAAGGTGCCAGTTATGGTGTCGACATAAGCATCATTTCCTTACTCCTTATTTTTTCATTAATCTGTCATGAAAATCATCTGACTTGTCCTTCTTATTTCAGGGCCCCGCTGACCCTTGAGAAGTCGGGTGCCGGCTCGGTCCTCAGGTCGGCAGCGACTTCCTCGACCAGCCGGCACATCGACCCGGCCGCCGACCTCCGAGAGACGACAGAGCGGAATGCGCAGGAGGCGCGCGACGAGGCAGAGGCCGACCGCCTGGCCAAGAAGCAGGCGGACCTGTCTGCCGCGTCTGTCGCGAGGGCGCTGGCGCAGGCGGAAGCTCAGGCCACGGAGAAGGAATGGCTCGCGGAGGCCGGCCGCCACCGAGAGCCATTATTTGTGGCCCCTCTGAACACTGCGCCGCCTCCGCCTTGCTAAAATATAATCTTGCTTGCTTCCTCATGCACGTAGTAGCCAGGGTACTCAAAATATCTAGACGTCCGTAACATAGTTGCCATGTTTCCGGTATGGTGGGAACGAGGAACGGGAACGGGGGACGAGAGTCGGAGGCTGAAAAAAATAGGGTAAAGCGGGGGTATACATCTCTAGAACGATTTTTGTCAAGCGGAAACTCGATCCAATCAATTCCGGTATGATGAATCCTGTATGGTACCATGGAACGAGGAACATGAATCTTTACTAGTTGGGATGATGAACCCGGTACAACGGTGGATCAACCATACGAACGATGATAAGACATGATATATTTAATTAAAATTTCAGCACGAGTACTTAACAAAATACTTGACTTAACCAAAGTAGCAAACAAGAAAACAGATTGACTAAGGTAACAGACACAATCACTTCAATAGCAGCATCCAAGTGACTCATCTTCCAGGTTTCCAACCAATAAAGTTTCACCAACAGATTAACTCACCATGTACCTTCAATTAAAAGAGAACTATTAGTGACCATAGAATGTAAAGATTGGATTCAATATACTGAAGAGTTCAGATTTAGTACTGGACACTTCCTAGTGTTTCAAGTCCTCTGAATTTTGCGTGGTGGTTCAGTATCAGCTGCTTCATCCTCCAAGCTATCCCAACGCAGCTGCTCAAGCTTCAAGCTTGAATCCTCCAGCAAATCATTCTCAGGCTCAACATCCCACTTATAATGTGGACCTGAATTGTAGCCCTCTGAAAACCTCCTCTTCAGACGCTCGTTTGCATGAATAAAGACAAGCTTATCGGCTGTCGTTGCATTCAGCTTGTTTCTCTTTAAATTATGTATGAATGAGTAGGTACTCCAATTTCTTTCGGCAGAGGAGCTGCTTATTGGCTGAGACAAGACTTTCTTTGCCACCTCACTTAAAGTTGGACTTTGTGAGCCATAATTGAACCACCATTCTGTGGCATTCATCGTGGTTGCATCGGCCTAAACGTCGTCTATTGCATACAAACCTTTCTTCATTATAAAGGTGTTAAGTCCTCACGTAAAAGAGCATACTCTTTTTTATCTTCTGCAATTCTATTTAGAGCCTCTATAACACCTTCTATAACCTCACTGTCATCATTTGGAGCTTTCCTTTGACCACCACCAGGAGCAGGACTTGCAAGATAGGCTTGATCATAATACTTAGGAGAAAGAGCAAATTCTAAGCAATGAAAATGCCAGTTCATCTTTCCCCACCGATAAAGAATAATTTCATTTACCTTCGACCAATCATCTTTGTGAGGGTTATCTTCCCTTGTCATGACTTCTTGCATCTCGCCAAGCATATTGTCCATTCTTTCATATATATCACCAGATTTTGGACCTTCTCCGTCACTGAACTTGATTACCATATATAATGGTTTTGTGATGTCAAGGATGATTTTAATCTCATCCCAAAATGTCTCATCAATGATATTTTGGGCAATCGCATTTGCTGCTGCTCTTGTTTGTACATCACAAGCCTTCACCAGTTCCTTCCATTTGCTTGTGACAATGGTAGTTGTGAGCGCCTCTCGAACATCCATAAGCCTCTTAAGCACAATATAATGAGAAGAAAATCTTGTTTTTGAGACCTTCAAAAGATCCAACTTGGAGTTGTGTCTAAAGAGATCTTGAAAGTGCTGGTGGTTCCTAAAGAACTTCACAATTGCTTTCCCAGTCTGGTATGTATCAACCATCCAAGCAAACTTTTTTGCAAAATCTTTGAATACTAGATTCAGTGTGTGAACCACACATGGAGACCAAAATATATGCTTATGCACCTGTCAAATAGAAAGGAGAAACACAATTGGATATACGTGATCCTCAAACTAAAATCAATGTACCGAACAATGAAAAACATACTTTCTCAATTTCTTCACCCGCAACTCTACAATTAGATGCATTATCAGTGATGACCTGAAGGACATTGGAAGGGCCAATCTCCTCAATGGCTTGCAGTAAGAATTGTGCAATGGCTTCACCCGTCTTCTCTTCTCCAGAGAAGTCTTCTGCGTACAGAAACATTGAACCACAGCTATTCGATGCTATTACGTTGATTAATGGATGGTTCTTCATATTTGTCCATCCGTCAGAAACAACAGAGACACCATGGGAATACCTATATACAGTTATAGACACCATGAGACACCATCCGTCAGAAAAAATAGATGATTACAAATGCTAAATGTTTGAGGCTTACCATGTTTGTCTAACCGGAGCCAAATCATTCTCCACCTTTCTCTTACATGCATCTAGAAGAGTAGTCCTAGCCTTCTCATATGCAGGAGGTTTGTATCCCTTTGGTGCTCTCTGGATGGCTGCTACCATTTCATAGTATTGAGGACTTCTCAACACATTAAAGGGAATTCCATTAGCACAAAGGAACAACATTATTTGCATGTCCACTGCATCTCTTTCCACCCCAGCAAAAGCTTCTACTAATTGCTTTTTAGGCGCCGAGCCTGAAGCTTGTACTTTCTCAGGTTGGTAGTACTGTAAATCAAAACAGGGAAAGAGTCATATAGGTGCCAATTGTTGTGGTGTTGTCTGAATAATTTTTCTCATAAAAAGCATTTGCATATACCTTACAATATATTTTCTTATACTTGACGCGATCACTTGCGACAGAGCAGCGAGGAATTTGTTTCGTCTTGCCAGGACCAACACCAAAGAAGTGCTGATGAATTCTTGTATAACTACTCGTGTACTTCTTATCACAATGTTTGCATCGCCAGGGTCTTGATCCACCAGAGTTCTTCCCTTTAGGTGCATCAAGAAAAAATACCTCATCTAGAAGGGATTTAGCAGGTTTTGCAGTACCATGCTCGGCAGATTCATCTTGTTCATCAACGCTATTACGCTCATCATCGGAATTGATGAGATCAACATCATCACCGTCATCCTCCTGGATGTCACTCCGATCTGCTAACTTACGTTTTGACCCAAACGCCATTGCAATCTCTGAATAATGAACGGGTTCATATATTACATTCTTACTCACAAAACTGTAATTCAAAGGCAAGATCTGATGAACTGAATGGTGTAGGTTAGGTGTACCTGAATCTGAAAACCGAATGCCTGAATGTCACTGGACTCTTGGATCCTCGAGCAATCAAGTCTTCTGAAGCATCGTTGGTTTTGAATCTGAATTTCTGCTGCTGCATGCGCCTCTGGTCACTGGATGCAGGGAGCAACTGGCTGGGACTGGGAGGAAGAGGGACGAGGGAGTACTTATACAAGAATTGGCTGGGCTGTGTCGTTGATCCATAAATCATCTGTTTCCCAATGAAATTTATTAGCAGCCTTTTGCTTACTCGAGGAGTTTTTTGGGGGAGTGGAGAAGATCGAGACAGAGAGTAAAACGAGGAGTTGGTGATTGATTTGGCTGATTTTTTTGCTTACCCAATCGATTCACGAACCAGTACTGCCGAGTCGACGAATCTGAATCAACGATCCGGCTGCGGAAACGCCGAATCCGCATCGAATCTTACCGAATCGATCCTCGTTCCCGAATCTGATTCCGGGACCATGAATCCGGATCGAGGGACGGTCCATCGTTCCCCGTTTCCGGCTACTATGGTCCGTAAAAGCATATGCTACACGGGCTAGCTGCAAAGTAAAATATCCTGGTGCATGTCGGCAGAGCTTAGCTGTTAAGGAAGTGTACGTGTTACTAGTAGAATGGTGCATGCATGAGCTGGACATGCAATCAATAAATTCTGGTATGTGGTAGGTTCCCGTGTGTGTACGTGGCTGTACACGTGCAGCTCACAGCAATCTTGTAATCTCCTATATAAGGACTAGAGTCCTTCAGTTGTAACTCAGTCAGTCAACAAGAAATAAAGCTTCTAAGTAGTACTAGTACGTGAGCTTCTCTATCACTAGTGCATGTGTGCGTGTGTTCACTGATTCAACTACATGTATGTGCAGCAGCTGCATCTTCTCTCTTTGCTGCTCTCCAATTCTCTTCGCTTGATCCTGGGAAGCTAGATACCCCGTAGTCTAGCTAACATTTGATATCAGAGCTTTGATTTATGCCAAAATACATGCCACCAAAGGAAGATCCTGGAAGCACTGTGGTGCCAGCGGCAGCAAAAAGCGGCATCACTGGTGGAAAAAGGGCCTTTGGTCGCGGTTCGCAACTGCCATTAGTCGCGGTTGCGCAACCGCGACCAGACGGGCGCGACTAAAGGCCCCCCCTTTAGTCGCGGTTGCTTAAGAACCGCGACTAAAGGCCCGTCCACGTGGGCGGAGGACCTTTAGTCGCGGTTCTTGTGGCTAACCGCGACTAAAGGCCGCCACAGGTTTTTGAAAAAAAAATGATTTTTTTTTTTTAAATTTCTGAATTATTTTAACCTCTAGTCTCTAATCACCACCCCTCATCACTTCTCAATTTATTCTTTTATCACCCCTCATCATTCCAAATCATCTAACTTCCCAACCGGTCACCCATCCCTCTCACTACTCCAGCCCAAGCACGCTTAACTTCCGGGTTCTATTCTCCCACGCTCCAAGTCTGCACTTGTTGTTTTCCTGACAATAATAAGATGTCAATCCTATTAACCTTCAGGAATTTTGCTTGAGCATGAAGTGACACATTTCACTGTTTGAGTTCGAAACTATTGTTTTAAAAAACAATAATTATTTAGTAACACTAATATTTCTTGAATAATTAGTTTGACCATTGTTTGTCCACAGTTTGACCACAGTTGACCACAGTTTGACCAGATTTGACCAAAATTGAAATAATTAAAATAATTATTTAGTAACACTAATATTCTAGAATAATTAGTTTGACCATTGTTTGACCATTGTTTGCCCACTGTTTGAATATTTTTCAATTTTTTCCACTCTAGATCTTACAAGCCCCGTAACTTTTTTCTATTAGGTTTTTGAGGATTTTGAAAATGTTTAACGGGGTTCCCCCGGTTAAATTTGGATATAACTTTTCGAGTAGATGATTTTTCATATAAAAAACTTTTTCATCCGAGTTAGTATGCAAAAGTTATGCCCATTTTTACAAATTTCAGAGAGATTTTGCAAATAAAGTCAAAATTCACATTTGCAAATTTTCCCAACAACTAGACCACATATCACATGAGAAACTTATTTTCTTTTATTTTTTTGACATTTCCATTATTTTCTTTTATTTTTTTTAAAAC